AGGGGCCTGACCCCAGAGCCTGGCACAGAACAGAAACTGGTCCGAATCGGTGGCTGTGATGCTGACATCTAGGCATGTACCCTACTCACCCTGATTTCTAGTGCCCCCTTTTCTGCAGCTGGTGTCGGGCCTCGAGGTTGTGGGAAGAGTCCAGATGCGGACGCGGCGGACGTTAAGGGGACACCTGGCCAAGATCTATGCCATGCACTGGGCCACCGACTCTAAGTGAGGCTTGAGGGGCACCCGGGGGGGGGGAGGCAGGAAGGAGAGGCTTGGGTGACGTGGGGTGCCCTCTCCCCAGGCTGCTGGTAAGTGCCTCGCAAGACGGGAAGCTGATCGTGTGGGACACCTATACCACCAATAAGGTAGCTGCCTCCCCAGCCCTCCGTCACCCTGTGAGTCCTTGGGGGCTTTGTGCCTCCCCTCCTCTGCCCTCCCCACCTGGGAGCTCAGCTCAGGTCCTGCCTCTGCCCACCCTCCTGCAGGTGCATGCAATCCCGCTGCGCTCCTCCTGGGTCATGACCTGTGCCTATGCCCCATCTGGGAACTTTGTGGCATGCGGGGGGCTGGACAACATGTGCTCCATCTACAGCCTCAAGTCCCGTGAGGGCAATGTCAAGGTCAGCCGGGAGCTCTCTGCTCACACAGGTGAGTGAGAGACCCTCTCTTCCCGTCCCTGTTGTGAGAGGCCCAGGGATGTGGCCCTGCAGCCCGGGCGCTGTCCTCACCCACCCCCAGGTTATCTCTCCTGCTGCCGCTTCCTGGATGACAACAACATCGTGACCAGCTCCGGGGACACCACTTGGTGAGGACTGAACCCTGTGGGTGCCGGGGCTTGGGGCGTGGCTGTCCTGGGCTTTCCGTGACAGGGTGACAGCCCCCCCTCCTCCCGGCAGTGCTCTGTGGGATATCGAGACTGGGCAGCAGAAGACCGTATTTGTGGGGCACACGGGGGACTGCATGAGTCTGGCTGTCTCTCCTGACTTCAAACTCTTCATTTCGGGCGCTTGTGACGCCAGCGCCAAGCTCTGGGACGTACGGGAGGGAACCTGTCGGCAGACTTTCACTGGCCACGAGTCGGACATCAACGCTATCTGCGTGAGCCCCCCTCTGTGCCCCAACTCCCGGGACCTCCTCACCAGCCCCCCTCCACATCCTTCATCCCTCCCCCAGCTCCCTCCCCCCCTCTTTGTAACTTTCCTGGTTGGAATGATTTCATCTTACCAAAAGGTTGGGAGAGTAACCCAAACAGCTTCCATCTACCCTTCACCCATATTCACTGCTGACATTTTTACCGTTGGTTTGCTTTAGCATTCTCTCTCTGTAGATGGAGGGAGGGACTGATGGAAAGACAGACACATACACCTAGATGTGGACATAGATATGCTTTATTACCTTTTTCTTTTCCTCTTTGGAGAGTAAGTTGCAGATAACATGCCTCTTTACCCCTTAAATACTTCAGTGCGCATTTCTTAAAAACAAGGCCATTCTCTGACATGGTCACAGTATAATTCTTAAAATCAGACTGAACAATGACACAATATAGTCTACAGCCTATATTCACATTTCACCAGTTATCTCACGAATGTCCTTAATAGCCGTGTTTTTTTTCTGTCTAGGAACATGCATCGCGTTTCCTTGCCATATCTTTTCTGTTTCCTTTAAACTGGAACCTTTTTTCTACCTTTCTTTGTCTTTCGGGGCCTTGACATCTTTGAAGAGTGCCACCCAATTTTCTTTAGGCTTTCCGTCCCTTTGAGTTTATCTGACATTTCCTCGTGATGAGATTCAGGTCACACATTTGCACTTGGCCCTGCACGTCCACACCCGGATCCAGCCCGGAGCCCGGAGTCGGGGACAGCCTCCGCCCTTCTAGCCATGTGACCCCGGGCAAGCCACCCGCCCTCCCTCAGCCTCACAGCGTGCAAATAATGCCTGCCTGCTTGCAGGGTGGCGAGGGGCCGAGCAACGGGTGTCGGGCGGCCAACTGGCATGCAGATGGCTGGGATAAATGTCAGAAATGAAGAGTGCTGGGGAAGGGCCGGGAAAGCGCTTGCGCTGGAGCCACCTGGGCGGGAGCCAGGGAGAGGGCGGGAGAGGTAGTGGGCCGCCCGGGGCTGAGTCCTGACCCCCTTGCCACCTGTACCTCAGTTCTTCCCCAACGGAGAGGCCATCTGCACAGGCTCGGACGACGCCTCCTGCCGCCTGTTTGACCTGCGGGCAGACCAGGAGCTGACTGCCTACTCCCACGAGAGCATCATCTGTGGTATCACATCCGTGGCCTTCTCCCTCAGCGGCCGTCTGCTCTTTGCAGGCTATGACGACTTCAATTGCAACGTCTGGGACTCCATGAAGTGCGAGCGTGTGGGTAAGGGCCGGCCAGCAACCCCCCCGCCCCCCGCCACCTCGGCTGGAAGGACCTTCCTACTAGCTCCCCTTTTTGGAACCCTCTTTCTACTGCTCCTAATTACTGGATGACTCTGAGCTCTACCCCTAGAATCCAATCCCCCTTGGTTCCCAACCTAGACCATCATCTCTAGTGGCCCTTCTCCACCGCCCAATGCTCTAGCTGCTTCCTGCCAAAGGAGCTCCTGTGTCACCCGAGACCTGGGGACCTTGAATGTCCAGTCACTTCTGGATTTCCAGGGCCTCTGAAGTGTCAGGGGCATCCACTGGAGGAAAGGGCAATCTCAGGGAACTGTAATAAGCAGAATCAAGGAGATCTAGCGTGACCCCAACCTTGGGGCTTAACTAGGACCACCCTGGTCTGAAGCTGAATCAGATAGTGTGGCTTCTCTTGGGAGAGGCCAGGTGCTGAATGAAAATAACACTGGCCAGAGAGTCAGGATCCAAATCTGAATTCTGTTGCTTAGGATCTGAGGGCCCTTGGGCAAGTCACTTCTCTTGGGGCCTCAGTCTCTTCATTTGGAGACTCAGGAATGAGACAAAAGAGCAACCTCCCCATCTTCTAGTGCCCATCAAGGTGCTCCTTGCTTTTTTCATAGCACACCGACACTGCCGACTTCACCTGTCCCTCCCAGCCCCCCACCCCGCCCTCCACAGAGACTGGCCTCAAGAGAAACCCTGCCCCTTAGGGTAATCCTCGTTGAGTCCCCACCAGAGGCTGAGTCCATGGCCAATCTAACCTAGGATTCCTGCAGACGCACATGCGCTCTCTGCCAAAGCAGCATGGGCAAACAGGCTGACTCCTCTCTCTCTTCCTCAGGCATCCTTTCTGGCCATGACAACAGGGTCAGCTGCCTGGGGGTCACAGCTGATGGGATGGCTGTGGCCACTGGCTCCTGGGACAGCTTCCTCAAAGTCTGGAACTAAGGAGGCTGGAGGAGGGGAGGTAAAAGGCCATGAAGACACTCAGTTGCCCCCTCCCTGCCCAATTTTCTTTTAAGATTTCTTTAAGATTTTTTTCTTCTACACCCCAGCTGCCACTCCCACCCAGCTTTGTCCTTTGAGGGCAGCAGGGAAAATGGGGGTATGCCTTTGGGAGGCAGCATCAGGGACACAGGGGCAAAGAACTGCCCCATTTCCTCCCAATGGCCTCCCCTCTCCCTGGTCCCGCAGCTTCTCCCTCACTGGGCAAGGACAACTGACCTCTCCCTAGCCCTTGGCAGGCCTAGCAGGCTTCCAGTCTGAGGCCCCAGGCCCTGGAATTCCTCCCCCAGAGCCACTACCTTTGTCCAGACCTAGGTGGCAGAGGGTGCTCAGTCCTGTGACTATGGCTCTGGCACCACTAGGATCCTGGCCCCTTTCTTCATGATTTCTCCCCTTTCTACCTTCTTTATTTCCCTCCTAAAGGACTTGCAATAAAGTGTAGTGCCCTGGTATGTCTGTGATGTTCGGCTTCTGCCCCACTTCTATTCCAAAAAGACACAGGCCCAACTTAAGTAAGTAATAAGGTATTACAGGTGCAGCGATAAAGGCTGGGTACCAAACAGTTTGGGGGCAGAAAGTAGGGTGGAGATGAAAGCCCAGGCCTCATGGAGAAGGCATGAGACAGATCAGAAGGTATTCACCAGGTGGCCAGCAGGGCATACTCCCCATCTGCGTATGTATGCGTATGTATAGGAGGGTTATGTTGAGAAAGAATCAGATTACAGAAGACCTTGAATACCAGCGGAGACTTTATCCTAAGGGCAATGGGAAACCACTGAAGAGTTCTGAGCAGCGGAGTCACACGGTCAGTTGTGCTTCTCAGAAAGGTCACCCTAGCGGCGGCGGGTGTAGGTTGATGAAATGGTGGGAGGGGAGACTGGAAGGAAACAAGGCAGGAGGGAGATGGCAAGAAAACAAGAGTGGGAGGGACGCCTGGGTGGCTCAGTTGGTTAAGCAGCTGCCTTCGGCTTAGGTCATGATCCCAGGGTCCTGGGATTGAGTCCCGCACTGGGCTCCTTGCTCAGCGGGGAGCCTGCTTCTCCCTCTGCCTGCCACTCGCCCTGCTTGTGCGCTCGCTCGCTCTGACAAATAAATAAAATCTTTGAAAGAAAAAAATCAAGAGCGGTAGGACAGGGGGCCAAGGAAAGGGATGGGGAAGAGATGAAAGATATAGAATCACCAGAATTTAGTGCTAGGGTATGGGATATTAAGAGGGAGGCATTCAAGATAATGGCCAAAGTTCAGGTTTGGGTAACGGGGGGTATAATCAGGGATAGAGAATACGGGATGAGGAATAGCTGTGGGGGAAAGAGCAGAAATTCAACTTTAGATAAACTGAGTCTGTAGTGCCTACAGGGCAGGTGGATAAAGGTCAGGGCTAGTTGGAGGGACCTGGAAGTTACCAGAATATAAATGAATGATAGCTAAAGCCCTAGAAGTGAACACCTAGGGAGAGCAAGAGAAGGCCAAGGACAGACCTCTGGGGAACCCCAGGTTTTAAGGGAAGCATGTGAAAGAGGCTTGGAGGACAGGGAACCCAAGTTCCTCAGGCTGTTTTTCTACATACAGAAGCCCACTGCAAGGTTTAGGTAGAATACTTAAAAACATCATTTAAAACCACTTTCTTTAATATACAAGAAACACATGAGACACAAAGAGAGCCCAAAAAAGCACTCAGTCCCCGAGCTGGGAGTTTGGGGGCGGGGGGGTTGAAGACAACAAGCCTTTCCAGTCTCCCAGGGAAAGATGGGGTTGAGGGGGCGCAACATCACTAGGCCCCCGGTGAAGCCAGTGCTGGGGCCATAGTCGGCCTAGTTCTCCACCAAGTTTGGAAAGTGCTGATTTTCCTTGTCCTGGTCCTGGCCCTGCTCCCACACTCGGCCTCCAGTTTTCAGAAGTCGTCCAGTTCCCAGAATGGCCCCTTCCTTTAGCTCCCTAGCATTGTCACTCAGGGGAGAAGGCCGCTTACCCTGCCAAAAGCAGTGTGTGAGTTGGAGCAGGGAGGGACGTTCAAGAGAGCGAAGATTGGGTAAAAAGGCTTCCCACCCTCTACCCTGGGTTTCTTAGTAACGGTTTTCACCCTCTCCCCCTTTACCTGTCGTGGTGTCAGAGTTCCAGGGGAGTTGTCATCCTGCAGGATTGTGAGGGGAGATCTCCCTAGTACCTTGCCATTTGCTTTCCGTCTATTGTGCTTAGAACCTAGGGTGGGTAAGGAGTTAAAGCCAAAATTAGGGGCTTACAGTTTATTCCTCCTACACTCATCTGTGGACATTATCCCAATTTCTCTTCCCTCTACCTTGCCCTTAGATTCTGTACCTGAAGTTTGGGGAGTCTCAGGGTCTCTCAAGGGCTTGTCCGAGCCCTGGCTGGCCATGGGGGTTTCTGAGGGTTGTCCTGCTTCCTCCTTGGAGAACACCTGCTTGGAGGGGAGCTCAGTCTGGCTCCAGGGTGGCATCTGGTCCTCAAGGGAAAACTGGGTGCCCAGAGGCAAGTCCAATTCAGAAGATGCCTCTAAGGGCAGAACAGGCTCTGGGGGCAGATTCGATTTGGGGGCTTCGGTCTCAAATACTTCACTCAGCTGTTTCACCAGTGGGCTTGGGGGTTCTAGAGAGGAGAAGTCAAGTGAGATAGTGACCCTATGTTACAAACCATTCAGCAAGGAGGAAAAGATACAGGAACTTTAGGATTCATGCCCTGGTGGGTGAGGGATTGGGAAGAGAGAAATCAAGGTGAGAGGAGAAATGTTAAGAGTGAGATTGGTTCCAAGCAAGAGGATGGAGGTTCCTTTAGGAAGGAGCTCTCAGAAGATGGCTTCATTGGCCTAACCCATGGATGCTAGGTGACAGCCTTACCAAAATTCCCTGGGCCCACCATTTACCTCCGCTGCTGGTCTTCATAGGTGTCCGTGCAATGCCAAGGGTAGGTGAGCGGGGATCTGAGTCTTGGGCCTGATTGGGACCCTCCAGCTGCTCCCCTGCTGGCAGGTTTGGCTGTGGAGAGCTCTCCACCTGGTAGAACCAAAGGCTACAACAAGTCTGCACCCTGACTCTTTCTTCCCTCCCAGGTCTCTAGCCCAGGTGGATATTCCAGGCAGGCACTGTCAACGCCCCTCAGGCATTCCGCCTACCCCATCCGGATTAAGAAAGTGGAAAACAAGGCCTCAAATTAGAAAGAGGAGGAGGGCGTGAGGGCTTTCTCAGAATCAGGTTAGGCAGAGGCCCAAGAATTCCGACTCTGCCTCCCCCACCCCGGCCCGGAGTACCTGGATGGGAGTGCGCAGGATGCCGGCACTAGGTGAACGGGGGTCCGCCACTCGGGCCAGAAGCTTGTTGTGCGGCGGAGGCCGCGCCGGAGTGACTGGGGCGCTCTTGGCTGAGCCCATCTCAACCGGGAAGAATAAGGTGGGGCAGGGCCCGGCCCGGGGCGAGGAGGGGACGCCTGTGAGAAATGACTCAGGTCTCAGCCATTACCGCGACCACGTCTGACCTCTGCAGACCACCCGATCTTCCCGGTTCCCAGTCGAGGAGCCGTCCGGCCGCTGGGCCAGAGGCCTCTGTGGAGATAACGACTGGTGCAGCTGACAGGCCGGCTCGTTCCGGGCCCGCTGGGCCCTCTAACTTACTCACTAATTAATTCAAATCACTTACCAGGCCCCGATTCGTCTTTTGGGCGCACAGCAGCTCGAGCCTCAACCCCCGACGCCGAGTTTCAAACCTCCCGCCACGCCCCCTGCTTTGACTCTATTGGTGGAGCCGACGCAGGCTCCTATAGGCCTCCCTGTGAAACCCGCCTCCAGTGCAGGAAGCCATTGGGCTGGGACGACGTCTATCATGAGGACCATTGGGCCAATGCGCAGCGGCTCGGCTTGTCCAGGGCTGACACCGCCCCGATGAGGGGACTTTTGTTCCGCCACGGGTTCCGAGTTGTCCGTCGTGAGACTTTGAGGAGTGCCAGTCTTCGCTTTTAAGACCTTCAGTTTCTAAAAAAAATAGTCATGAAATTTTACGCGATTTTGTACAGATCCAGCTGGAGATGAAGCTGTGAAGGTTTTTCTGAGGCGACAGAGATAGTAATCCTTATTGGTTGACGGAGTTATCAATCACTCGACACCAACCCTCTCAAACTCCGCCTCATTGGACAGCCCCTTTTCAAATACCAAGAATACAACTGGCCTTCTGTTTTCCGATTGGACAGGACCCAGGAAAGTTTCTGGGATTGATTGGTTTAAACCACCGTCAGTTTCTGCTCTTTGATAGAAGACACGCGAAGGGACTGTAGGGGTCCCAGAGTCCGGGCATCCAAAACTCGGGGACCCACCTCGCTGCTCTACATGCGCTCTGCCCTTGGGAGCGTGGGATTGGTTCTTTCGACCATGGTTGCATTAGAAGCGCTTTTCATTGGCGTTAGCCAAGAGTAGGGCAGAGGGCGGAGCACTAGTAGGCAGGCTGCGTCCAACTGCCATTCTCGCGCGTCCTCCCTTTAGCGCATGCACCTAACGAGTAGTGCTCATTGGACGGCAAGCCTAGGGGGTGGGGGACTGGGAACGGTGGGAGCCGCTGTGTGTGGAGGAGCTGCTGCCGGTGTCATGGCGGAGCTGAGTGAGGAGGCGCTGCTGTCAGTATTACCGACGATCCGGGTTCCTAAGGCTGGAGACCGGGTCCACAAAGACGAGTGCGCCTTCTCCTTCGACACGCCGGTAAGCCCATTCCCCACGACCGCAGAGAGCACGACTTCCTTCCATCGCCCTGGTCATTCTGCCGGGGCCTGCAAGCCTTGGGCTACCGCCTCCCTGCGATGCACCATGGGACTTGTAGTCTCCCACGCTCCTCCCTGCCGTTGCATTTAATTAGCTGGAGCTGTCGTATGACTACCGCCCCCGGAAGCCACCGCGCCCGCCTCAGCCGTTCCCCGTCTCGTGGAGCACTGTGGGGATCGTAGTCGCTGTCTCCTCTCATTGCCGTTCCAAGGCAGACGCGCATCCCGCTCGTCGGACTACATCCCCCAAGTGGACCCCTGCGAAAGCCTGGGAGTTGGCCTTGCCTGCCGCGCACGGCTCTCCGGGTTTTGTAGTCTCGTGCCGGAGGGATGGGGCGACCCCGCACTGTTCCGGGCCGGAGTTAGGGTTGGAGGGTGGGGACTGCAGTTCGTAGGCGCCTAGTAGTCTGGAAGGGACCGTGAAGAAGGCCAGTTCTGAGAAGGGCCAAGTTAGAGAGACTCCACCCATGGTTAATGTGGACAGGGGGCGGGGAGGTGGGTCATTGGTGGTAGGGAGGAGAGGAAAGAAGGGAGGAAAGCTCTAGTCTTTTCTCCTTTGAGGTGACCTGTGACTGCAGCCCCCTCTCTTTTTCCCGCCCATCACAGAGAGCAGAGGGAACCCTTTTAAAAGTATTCCCAGAGAGACGGTGTCTTTCGTGGAGGATACTAAGACCCCTTTCCCATCCCGCTCCCACCCTTGACTAGTTAGACAAAGCCTCCACCCACACCATGCTTCACGTTTTGCAGGCTCCACCCGGAACCTCTCTTCCTGCAGTTCTGCCTTCCTGTGTCACCCTCAAGCGGAGACTAGCCTTTGGCCTGGCCAGAGTCTTAACCGAGAGGGCAGCAGCCTGGTTGGGATCCGCCCCCATCTCTACCCCTCCCGACCAGCGGCCGCTGGGCCCTGCCCAGGGTGTTCAGCCAGAACAGTTCATGGCTGGGAAAACTGCAAGTCAGAGTGGAAAGGCTTCATTAATGCATCGCCAGTGCTGAGTATAGCAGCATGATCTAAGGCCCAGTTCAGGATCATCACTGTGATTTGTGGTTTGCTTGGTTTGCTAGGCTTTGATCTGAGCCTCAGACAATGTGCTGCTTCTCTGGAGTCTGGCTTTGGCAGAGCTAAAAGAGGATGGCTCAGAGCAGAGCTCCAGGGTTCCCAAGCCTTGGGGAAACCAGCGTTTATTTCCAACAGAGGAGTTCGGTTACCGCGGAGCTCCCACATGCCACCCGGTTCATCAAGTGCAGGGCTTGGTGAAGCACTGTCTTCCTCAGGAGCGAAAGGTTTTTCTTAATTACCAACAGATGGTAGAAGTCAGTGGCTCCCTCTTCACACTCCTGTTTGTCTCTCCTTGGTAACTGCTTCAAATAATCCAAATGGTGTTTTTGTAAGCTTGTTATACTTTCCTTCTCTCATCCCAAGTCAGATCTCCAGTGTGGCTCAGTTGCTTTCCTAACCAACTACCAGCATGTTTGATTATCTTCAAATTGGCTTCATGGTGGAAGAGAGCTTATTTGACCTCCCTGATGAAAAATGTTCCATTTGCTCATCAACATTGTAATCCACACGGTCTAGGGAGTGGTACAGAGCAATCTATGGGACCAAGAACTAACTGCCTTAGACAGAGCCCTATTTTTCATATCACAGCAGAGAATTTTTCAAGGCCACTGAGGCGTTTATTCAAGGAAGAAGATGCCTGTTGTTGCTTGGATCTGAGGGAAGACTCTTGTTTTCTCCACTTACCTCCTCCACCTTATCCATCACTATTCACAAAGGCACTGGCAGACTTGTTCTGTTTTAGAGAAGCTCATCCTCCCTCCTTAGCTGTGATTTAGGGTGGACCCTTGTCTTTCCCTGTTTTCTTCCTGGGTTATATGTATTTTAGCGGTCTTAGCAGGTGTTGCTAGATTATTCTGCAGAGGGAATGGCTTTGAGGTTGGCAGTTGATGGACGTCAGTGGAGATTTAGTTATCCATCAGAGGGGAGGCAGCAGGGTAGTGGCTGGAGAATGCTGGTCTTCATGTCCCTGTCAAACTAGGCCCAGGTATAGCAGTGAGCCCCAGACAAGGCATTGTTTTGTTTGTTTGTTTGTTTTTAAGATTATTTATTTATTTGACAGAGAGAGACACAGCGAGAGAGGGAACACCAGCAGGGGGAGTGGGAGAGGGAGAAGCAGGCTTCCCGAGGAGCAGGGAGCCCGATGCAGGGCTCGATCCCAGGATCCTGGGACCATGACCTGAGCCGAAGGCAGACACTTAACCGACTGAGCCACCCACGCGCCCCCGGACAAGGCATTGTTACCCTGGAGCCAGGCTCGAGCAGGAAAGGAGGGAGAACCCTCAGCATGGTCCACGGTTTGACGACCTAGTAGGGTGTGGTAAAGGAAAAGTCTGGGCTTGCTGGCAAGCTCAGGAGCTGGGTGTATTGTTCAAGTTTTAGAATCTCGGCTCCTCCAGTCCGGAAAGTTTTCTGAGTCCTGGAGATGAGGCAGGGTTTGTCATTGTGTCCCTGGTTTAGGTTCTGTGTCTGACATGCAGGCCTTTCTTCTCCAAGGAAAGGACCCCTTTTCCCTCTGAATATAATCACTGGCACTGGAAGTCCATGGTATTTGATTCCCATTTACCTCAAGGAAAGAGGTAAAGGGGGGTGCCTGGGTGACTCAGTCTGCCTTTGGCTCAGGTCATGATCCCGGAGTCCTGGGATTGAGTCCTTTGTTGGTCTACCTGCTCAGTGGGGAGCCTGCCCCTCTCTCTCCCGCTCCCTCTGCTTATGTGCTCGCACTCTCTCTCTCTCAAGTAAATAAAATCTTAAAAAAAAAAGAGAGAGAGATAAAGGGAGTTCTCTATAATTGATTGGAAGGCTCCAAAGCCCAAAGAAGGAACAAGAAGGAAGAGGAGTGGTGACTGACAGGTGTTGCTCAGCCCCTGGTACCCTTGGTTGTTATCAAAGTCATAGGAGAATGGGGAGAATCTTTGCCATGTACTGGGTCCTAAAATGCTAAATGACTTGCCAAGAGCCACATGGTGTTGGAGAACAGAGCTTTTCTTTTGGAAACCGGCAATGTCTGGCCCTGGGTCTTGGTTTCCCCACCTGGCCAGGCTTCATCCTCCCTGTGTTTTCTCCCCTGCTTCTTGTACTGCAGGAGTCTGAGGGTGGCCTCTACATCTGCATGAACACATTCCTGGGCTTTGGGAAACAGTATGTGGAGAGACATTTCAACAAGACAGGCCAGCGAGTCTACCTGCACCTCCGGAGGACCCGGCGCCCGGTAGGGACAGGGCTGGGGCAGGGCCTGGGGATATTCAGGTGCAGGCCACTGGGCCTTCATTTTGAATCTCTCTCTTCTGTTCTGACCTCCTATTGGCCTCAGTTTCCCTCTCTTAACCTATTTCTGTTGGTATCATTAGAACTCAGCACCCATGTTTTTTTAGCTCCATTCCCTTCTAAGATTAACCCACTCTGTCCTGTCTGTCCTCCCCATTTGCTGATGCTGGCCCTTCCCACGTCATTGCAGAAAGAGGAGGACACCACTACAAGCACTGGAGACCCCCCCCGTAAGAAGCCCACCCGGCTGGCTATTGGTGAGCACCGTCACAGTCCTGTTCTTCCTGAGCTGGTCTTCCCCGCTCTTAGACGTTCTAGGAAAGCCCTAAAAGAATGGGTCTGATCAGTGGCCCACAGTGAGATGCTGTGTCAGAGGAGGGACATTTACCTGGGGTGGTTGTCCTACCTTCCCTCCTCTTCCCTGTTTCACCAGGCATGGAAGGCGGGTTTGACCTCAGCGAGGAGAAGTTTGAATATGATGAGGATGTGAAGATTGTTATTTTGCCGGATTACCTGGAGATTGCCCGGGATGGGCTGGGGGGACTGCCTGACATCGTCAGAGATCGGGTACGAATACTTTCCCACCCTACCAGGGTCTCTAGGGCAAGCGGGGCCTGAGCAGTGATGTCT